TGCTCAAACATACTCTTTCTATTGCATGGCAGACAATATGAGATCTTCCAGCACTAGACAATTCCTTTTCATAATCCTTGTAAAGATCTAGAATAGCTTTATAACTGATTTTCATATAATCAGGAAGGCGATCAATTTCCTTGATATCCCATCGGCAGGATGAAAAATTAAGGTGAACTCATGCATTTTGAAAGAGCACAACTATAATGAGTAGAAGTTCATCTTAATCTTTTCACGATGACATTTACTACAAGGAATATCTGAATAAGTGAATTGATAAGTTCATACCTTTGTATGGCATCTGTGTATGACTCAAGTTCTTTAACTGTACCATAAGCATCAAAGGTGTCATCAACAATCGAAATCATAGATATGGTCTTAACAAGCATGACGCGAGCTTGAGAGTATTGAGGCTCAAAATAAACTCCTAATGCCCAAAAGTAGCATTCAACTACTCAATCTCTAGCATATGGAAGTGTTGTTACGAAATCCAAATCTTTCCACCACCTGCAACATAACAAATTAACATCAGTACTTGAGATATAATAAATCAAAAAGGGTTCATCGTTCTTACTTATCGTACCTTGATACTTCAGCAGTTCTTTTTTGTGCAACATCTGGAGCAAGTTGAAATCCAATTTGGCAAATCGAAGTAACACATCATTTTTTGATTGTTCCTTCTCATAGATTGATGAGATGCAGAATCGGGTCTCGACTCTAGGAACGCCCTTATGCAAACATTGCTCAAGGGCATGTGTCACTTGCTCCCTAAGTGGAGATTTCATATATGGAGCTGCAAATTCAAGATGGATAGTGGAGAAAGCATGTGCGTCTTCTAAGATGGTGTCAGTATGAGTCGTTACATGTGAAGCTTCATACAAGTTCAATAATCCTAAGACATCACTAGCTAGAGACTTCTTGAATTTGCCATTTTCATCTTGGAATTTGCTGAAAATTTCTGGTTTTCAAGGAAGAATACACAATATTAACCTTCCTGCAAATGGATAATAATTTTAACAACTTTAAATTAAAGATGTGCTTCATGCATGGTGAACTTACCAGGAGAGATGTTGAAACCATGTTGCCTGAGCAATCGAAATTGAAGTGAAGAAGTGCTCAAATCATCGCAGTTTGAGGTTTGGTTGTAAATTTGATCCAAAATCTCATCAATTTCTTTCTCAAAGTGGTATGATATGCCAAGGCGTTCAATAATGTCAATCAAATTCAACGTATCAGACAACTTTCTTCCAGTTGCTAATAGCATACTCCTCGTTTGTTCCTTCAATGCTTCAATCTCTTGAGCATACTTTTCAGCAACCTATTTATAATGTATTTAAAAAAAGAAAACTGAAATTAGAAAAGCTAATGTTGTTCAATAAACATAAAGAAGAAACTAAGCATGTTTGCAAGATGAAACTACAAATGAAGAATACTACTAAATTACCTGATTATCAATGGAGAATGAAAGGAAATGATCACCCCAGAGACTAGGGGAGAAGTCGGCGACGGGACGAACAATCTCTTCTTCAAAATTGCCAACTACAGCTGAGGCCATTGCTATAAAATTTATACTTTTAGTACCACAAAGAGTTTTGGTTCTTAGTTCTCTGAGGGAGAAAGAAAGTAGACTGATGAGTGAAACTGAAGAGAAGGCATAAGTATTTATAATGCTTTCTTATTTCTTCATTTCAGTTGCCTTACTTGACCATATATATATCACATAGTCACCAATCATCATCAGCCTTTTGATTTCTTCATTGGCGTCTCAGTGAATCCAATTTAATAGGTGTAGCATTTCTTAAAGTTTTCTTGTATTAATTGTGTTGTGGGACGTCATATGTCGGAAAATAATGTTTACTATACTAACTACTCTTTCTTATTAGGGAAAAGAGTCAAATTTTACTCTCAACTTTCGAATTTTGTCTACGGGCGAGGTACGAAGGAAAATGTTTTCCAGAAAAAATGTTTTTCTAGAAAATGAGAAGTTTTATCACTTATTTTTGCTTGTTTGACTGGTGAGTGAAAAAAAAATTCGGAATTTTTCTTTTTTGTGTTTGGTTAGAGAGTATAGAATTTTTTTAGGAAAATAATTTTTTAGGAAAAAGTACAGAAATAGCCAATTTAAATACAAACTTACCAACCTCTAGCCCAAAATTAGACACTTACCAAAAGTAGCCCAAAATTAGATATACACGTAACGAAGGATTCTTCTATCCGAGAATCACGCTAAAGATCTTCCTTCCTTCCCTTTTTTTTCAAGCGTATCAATTTAACAGATCACGACATTCTCTACCTCTGTAAATCACGTCATTCTCTCTCAAAAAATTCTCAAAAGGAGCTCCAAATTTCATTCAAAATCGATCAATTTTACTATATACCTTCGCAATTTCTATGTAGATACAGCTTTTGCAATTTCTGTGTAGAAGGAACTACGAACTGCGATCAAAATCAATCAAGGAATTAGTGAGTTTTGACCTAATTTCAACTACTTCAATGGGAAATTTACCAATTTTTATTCAGTATGGTGGACGATGGAATGTTGACAACAGCTTTGTAGATTATAATGCAGATGTTGTAATAGTTACTCCAAATATAAGTTTTGAAGATTTTGTAGACGTGATTTCGAAACAACTTATGATAGATACTTCATTGAATGATATTGAAATCAAATACACTGTCCAAAACAGTTCTCCGCCAATAGTGATACACAATAGTATGGGTGTATGTGTATATCTTGAGCTGAAAAAAGCTCAGAATTTACAATGTATCCCCTTTGTATAACATCGAGTGAAAAGGATATGGACATGATCTGGTACAATTCCAATTCTGCTGTGATTTCCTCAGAATGTGCACAAAGCTCAGTTGTAGAGAAGAGATACAATGACGATACAATTAAGATGATCGAGTTTGGGGATGGAGAAGTCTGGAATGATACAGAATCTGATGAAAATACAATAATAACTGACCCTCAACACATAGATGTAGAAGAAGGTCAAATTTAAAAAGACAAGGCAACGATAGTCAAAGTCATGAGGCACTTGGCAATGAAGGAAAATATTCAATTTAAGGTGCATAGATCAAGTGAAAGCAGGTATCAAAATATTTATTGTATAATTATGTATCTCAATGTATATTGTAGTTGATGTTAGAAGCATAATTATGTAGAAAATAAGTTGTTGCTTGTAAGTATGTGGCTGTACACTTTTAAGTTGTGGTTGTCACCGTCTAGTACTGTATACTCGTTGTATTTTTTCATCTAGTATTGTTGATGGCAGCGTGTATCACTATATATCATTGTATTTCATGTCGCTCTGTTTATTGATGGAAAAGTTTATATCCTTGTCGTAGGTACTGCCTAGTATGCATCAACAACAACTGTGATTGGTATTTTAAGTCTTCGAGCCTGAAAAAAGCAAACGTTTTCAAGGTCAGAAATTTCAGCAAAGTGCACTCATGCCCCCTGAAAGACAAATCTTACGCACAACGTCAAGCTACTGCAAAACTCATCGGCAGTCTTCTGATAGACAAGTATAAAGACCCAAAAACAATATGCACTCCTAATGACATATATAATTGGAGACATCAACAAGCAGTATGGTCTTCAGATGACATATATGCAAGCATGGAGATCGAAAGAATATGCAGTTCAAGTACTGAGAGGGAACCTGAGCGAATCAAATGAAAAGCTGCCAAACTACTTTTATATGCTGGTTCTTACAAATCCTATGTCGGTGGTAAGTTTGAAAAAAATAGAGGAAGACTTGTTCATGTATGCTTTCGTTGCACTACATCCGTCTATAAAAGGATGGCAGTATTGCAAACCGGTTATTGTTGTAGATGGAACCTTTCTTAATTCGGCATATAGAGGAACATTATTGATAGCATCAACACAAGATTCAGCAGGTAATATCCTACCACTCGCATATGCCATAGTAGATTTAGAGAATAATGCTTCCTGGGAGTGGTTTTTTGCGAGATTCAAGGATGCATTTGGGGAAAGGGAGGGAATGTGCATAGTCTCGGACATGCATGAAGGCATTGAAAATGCAGAGGCAACATTGTATCCACAAGTACCTCATTGTGTCTGCATATGGCATATATGGAATAATGTAAAAAAAATTACAAAAAAAACCATTTGCTACTCAAAGACATTCTTTGCTATGGCCAAAGCATGCACAGTTGAGAAGTTTGATTACCACATGGCAGAGGTAGAGAAAATTGATAAGAGGGTCAAAGATTACTTAATGAATGTTGGGTATGAAAGATGGTCCAGAGCACATTCCACTATCAACAGAACATTGACGATGACTTCAAACATTGCGAAGTCGATCAATGCAGTGCTCAAGGCTGGTAGGGAACTCCCAGTACTGCCTTTGCTAGACTACATAAGGAAATTGATCGAACGATGGAATGTTACAAACCTAAAGAATGCAGTAGAGTCATTCACTGATCTTGGAAAAAAATATGATACAATGCTGATGGACAATCTTGAATTGTCACATCAGATGAAGGTATGATTGGAATCTGTAGATACTTGTGCATAGAATATGTAATCGTGCCGAATTCATGGATCTGTTATATCTTGAACCCTTTGTGTGATTCTGTTAAACTAGTGTCCACCTGCACAAAAGCAAAGGCTTTCAGTTTAATGTAGCATTTATGCCTACCCCACTGCTGAAATATTGGTTGGTTTGACATGATATTAAGCTATTTTGAATCTTGTAGGTTCTCTAGTATATGTATTTTGAGGGCATCTGCTTTGTCACCACTAATGATAGTCGATAAATTTTGTAGGTGACCCCTTCGATGAGTTACTTATATTCAGTACTTGACAAGGGTAAGCAGAGAATGGTGTTCCTAAAAGATCGAACTTGTAGCTGTAGAAGGTTTCAGTTGGATGAGCTGCCATGTGCACATGCTTGGGCAGTATTAAAATACAAATACATTGATCACATTGAGTATTGCTCGATATACTACACCAGGAAGTACCTATTGAAGACCTATGAAATTCCAATTTATCCGGTTCCTGATGAAAGCACATGGGAAATTCCTGTAGAAGTTGTACATGAAAAAGTCTTGCCACCAGACGTGACTAAAACAATAGGAAGGCCAAGGAAGGGGAGGTGCAAGCCAATATCTGAAAGGGAACGAAAAAGGTCGATTTCATGTGGACAGTGCGGAGAAGAAGGTCACAACAGGAAAACTTGTAGAAATAATCCAAAGAGAGGATGAAATATGTCAAATTTAGAATTACTTGTTATTTTACTTTACTGAATATCATAGAGATTTAGAAGAATGCAACATATCAAGAACTATATCATTGTAGAGATTCAAACACAAACAAATCTGATCCGTCTTACAACAATGACAACATAACATAACACAATACAAAAACAAAATTATAGAGTTCATCCTACAACAATGACAAAAGTAACTACTTCTTCTGCTTCCGCGACTTATTATGTCGACCAATAATCTCATCATCACTTTGCGCGTTCAGTTCCATCTTCTTTGTAGCATAATCCCACAAGAGAGCACCAAATCTGTGCCGGTGTGCATAGGCAATGAACTTTTTAGGAGGCGTCTTGCCCTCAATGAAATACTCGGCAAATGAAGTCGCAAATACACCACAATCACTACAAAAATAAAAAGAACAACAACTATCAAACTGCACAATCTAAAAACAAGACAGATTGTGTTGAAAGAAATTCATACGCTTCGACTTGTTGAGGCAATCCTTCGACTAGTTTTACATCAAAGGGGGTAATCAAGTCTTCTGATTTGTAGACTCCAGTGAGCCAATTGATATCTTTTTTGTTTAAATAGAAATGCGTGTGCACGAAAAAATGAAGCACCAACACAGAATACTTGGCCATGGTCTTATGAACTTTGGCTTGATGAGCAGCTCCACCGCGCATAGAGTCATACACATAAATGCACCTATCCTTGAAGGACATCACAGCCATTATCTAATGCGATTGTTCTGCAACATTAATTGGCATTAAGACATGCTCGACAGTGTGCCATGGAACATTGGCATCCAAGACAAACCCCTGAATATACTCTGCAATGACATGTTTCGGAGTGCACACATCACTGTCTCCATCTGTATCAATAAACGCCTGCCACAACTTATTAATTTTCTCGTCGAAGTACCAATATGTGGTGGTGAATGTTACAGGTAGGTCTTTGTCATACATCCCTTTCTTCCTCAGATAATAGAACAAAACATCAATGTGCTGAAACAAAACATAAGAAATAACTAATCATACCAATGACCATTCATGCCATAATAATGACATTATTTTCTTATATCACCTCAAACCTCCTTCTAGAGGTGAGTGTGGTATATTCACTACCACTAGCACGTTCATATTCTTTGAAGAATGAATATGTATTCATAAACTCAGATGTTTGTCACATTCACATCATGAATGGACCATAATCATCTATATGTGCTTTACAAAATCTCATGTCAAATCGATGACAAATATTTTTCACAGAGTGAAAGATTATTTTGGGAATTCTTATTGTTCGCATTACCACAAATGATGACGATTATAATTTCGTCTATTGCCACGTCCATATCCATTGATACATTCATAGTAATAATTTTGTCTTCTTTCAGACTTATCACATACTGCTATCACATTCTCTTAAGGGAATGAGAATGGAGCAAATTCAATGGGACGGGTTTTCAATTCTTTGCCCACAATCATACATGAATTTGATCATGGCGAGGCATAGAAATTTTACCACTTCAGGTGGTTATAATTTCTTACAAACTCCATTAGAGTTATAATCAAACTTTGTTGTCTTTGCTTGTATTTAAAATCAAAGTATAGAATAAAAGAGAAAAATACGGTAAAATACTTACCTTAAATCCAGAATTTAATCATGAAGGAAGTTCATGGAATAATTGACAATCATTATGCTAAATCCCAAAGCTTCTACTCAATTGGTTAGAGTCTCGTGCT